ATCAACATTTATTCAATATAAAATCAACACAAAAGTGCATGTAGATCCACATTCAGTTGATGGTTGAATCAACATTGATATGTCAGTTATGGTTGAAACCCTAGCGTTGATTCAACATGCAAGTCACCGACCACTTTAAATTTCGTTTAATGTTTCTGCCTAACCTTATTTCAATGTTATCTGAAGTGTAGTTGATGACATGATGAAACCAGCCAACGCTTTAAGACACATGAAACAAAATGTCCATCAAACACAGAACAAAGCCTCTTTAGAGGCACTTAAAATGCTTTTACTTATAATTTTGTAGAACTTACAAGATTGTTGTTCAGAAGCTTCAGATGTGCCATCATCAACCCTGCAAAGGGAAAAAAAGCTGAATCAAAACTATATTTTAAGTACTAATCAATAAATGATGTTGAGATTCCTCAATATGCCAGTGTTTCTTTTATGGTACTTTGTTTTAAGTACCATAAAGGTACTTAGCACCAAATACCAGTAAGTATTCGGTTCTACTTACTGGTTACTGTTTCAATCCCAGCCATTCCTTAATGTTCAGGCTTAGCTCAGTTTTAGTCTGTCAGCTATACGTCTCATCTAATTCAAAACTCTGCATTTGCACATTTTCCTTATTTTACTGTGGTTGTCACCACATGTTAAGTAACTTTTAAAAATCATATGCAAGACTAAATTAGGTAGTTTCCATCTATCCATCCATACATTTTCTGTACACCCTTGTCCCTAGTGGTGCTGGTGCCTATCTTCAGCGAGACATTTCGGGCGAGAGGCGGGGTCACCCTGGACAGATCGACAGTCAATCGCAGGGTAACACGGAGACAGACAGGATAAACAAACATGCACACTAGGGGTTGAACGACAACATATTTTTTAAGGTCAACTACATCATGATAATAGTCGAGTCGATTTCGACTAGTCGCGGTGACGTCATAGTGACGTAAGCGCAAAAACCCTTCACAACTACTTGGAGGCTTTATCAGCTATTTTCACGGCAAGTACTCACCTAGTCCACCTTCTTTCATTTTCTGGGAAAAATCTGTTTAGTCATGTAATTGCGACTAGTCGACTGGCCCAGAAAAAAGTCAGTGCAGAGAAAAGAATCGACGAGTCGACTAGTCGACTAATTGGTGCAACCCCTAGCACACACACACTCACACCTAGGGAGAATTTATAGAGGCCAATTAACCTGACAGTCATGTTTTTGGACTGTGGGTTGAAGCCGGAGTACCCGGAGAGAACCCACCAAGCACAGGGAAAACAAGCACACTCCATGCAGAAAGAACCAGGGCCGGTATTACTATTGACACATTTATATTCTCCTCAAAATTCAATGATATTACCATCCTTGTGATAGAACTGTTCTTCACTTCTATCACAAGCAATAATTTACCGCTCTGATTAATTCATATGCTGTGGTGTGACCTAAAGAAAGTTGTGCAGAAAATGCTTGCAGACTTCAATAAACAAAGACAAATACTGAAATAAGACTGGACCAATAATGTTTCTTGAAAGGCTGATCCAGGATCAAGGGCTGGCCTCTTCTTTTTTTTTTTACATGAAAACGCCTTATTTGACAAAACCTGCGACTTTAGTTTTGTATAAATGGATCAAAAAACATATTTTAGAAAATCAAAGGTTTGAAATCTCTTAATATATTGTTGAATGGTGAATTTAGAAAACCTTGAGATGTTAGATGGATACAAGTGCAGTCTATAAAATTGAACTGCATAGAAAAAAAAAATCACTTTTTGAAATTTTTGAAACCAACATTTTAACCCTTTGATGCATAAGTGAGTCGTTTTTGACCCATTGAGGTCATGTTTTTGCAATATCCTTGTAATGAAAAATTTTCATCACTTCATATTCCAGGTATTCCTCAGAAAACATGTTAGTGATATCATCCATCCATCCATTTTCTGTACACCCTTGTCCCTAGGGGTTCGGGAGGGTGCTGGTGCCTTCCTCCAGCAAACGTTTCCAATATCATGCAATTCAAATTTTTTATTTACCTTTTATACATTTTAAGAAATAGCACATTTTATATTACTACCCCTTTATTCTGTGAGTGGGTCAAAAATGGCCCGCATTCATTTCCTATGGAATTTAATGAGAATCTTTGTTTCTTACCAACTTTGGCTGTCAGAAACCAATTTTTTTGGAAACCATACACACCGAGTCCTAAGTGTCACCCTTGAATAATATTTTACACAGCAAGAAGTTTTACAAATAATTATCTTTAGTTTTTACCTCACAAATATGTGTGTGTGTGTGTGTGTGTGTGTGTGTGTGTCAATCATGAATATTGACAGTGTTTGTCACGAATCAACATATTAGCCTTCTTTGAAGTTAACTAACACTATTATCTAACCAAACCAGATAACATTGCTGCTTATACTTTATTGTGCATGTGTATTATTTGTGTGTGTGTGTGTGTGTGTGTGTCTCTGAGTGCTGACACCCTGGATAAGAAAACCAAAAGTGAGAGAATGTGTTGAATGACATGCAACACATTGTGTTCAAGGTTTTTTCTTCTATCATCTCAATAAATAAAATAAAAAATGATAGCTATATGAATAAATTAATAAATGCAAATGAGCTGGAAAAGGGTAGAGTGCCTTCGCCGGGACGGGGAGGGTGTTCTGCCCCAAGTGGAGGAGTTTAAGTATCTGGGGATCTTCACAAATGAGGGAAAAATGAAGCCAGAGATCTACAGATGGATTGGCGCCTGCAGTGAAACGGGTGCTGTACCGGTCTGTCATGGTGAAGAGAGAAATCTGTCAAAAAGCAGAGCAAAGCTCTCGATTTACCAGTCGATCTACATTCCTACCCTCATCTATGGTCATGAGCTTTGGGTCATGACCGAAAGAACAAGGTCACAGATACAAGCGGCCGAAATGGCTATTGTCTCCAGGGTGTCTGGACTCTCTCCCTTAGAGATAGGGTGAGAAGTTCAGTCATCCAGGAGAGACTCAGAGTAGAGCCACTGCTCCTTCACGTCAAAAGGAGCCAGTTGAGGTGGATTGGGCAACTGGCTAGGATGGCTCCTGGTGAGGTATACTGGGCCCCCTCTCACCGTCAGGAGGCCCAGGAGAAGACCCAGGACACGCTTGAGGGACTATAGCCCCTTTTGCACTGCAAGGCCCGGCACGGCACGCCATGGCACGCTTCGGTCCGGTTCCAACCGTACTGCAGCCCTGCTGTGTTTGCATATAACTGAGGGCGGCATCAAAGCTTTACCTGACGTCATTATTTTTGAAAGTAAACAATGGTTTCGATGTAGCCTGTCGAAGCTACATCTCCTCAGAGATGCGGCGGAAAACTTTCTCATTCCTTGTTGACCGATCTAGCTCATTCTGTACTCATTCATCAGCGGGTAAGCGGAGGAAATCTCATGGAATCAGGTAGCAGCAGAATATTGAGAGGAATTAATCGCAAATTAAAAATAATAATAAAAATATTAAAGCTCCAAGCAGCCTTGAGCGGGGATCCAAGCACCGCCGGCCACAAGCCACCATGGATATTCTTGCACAGTTCCCGCCTACGTCTGCCAGGCTGTACTCATCGATGAGTTCTCCAGCATTCTCCGACGACTCACCAAAAATCTGGTGCAGATCAGCCAATGTAGCAAGGAGATATAGCTGATGGAAAAACCTAGGGGGCGCAGTGGAGTGAAATTACAAATCAATGCTGTTGGGTTCTTGAGTGGTGAACAAAGATCATACGTATCCAGTTTGGTGCCAATCGGATGTTCCACGTGTTATTTAGAGACAATCTTGTGCATATGGCGAGGGACTGGCATTTGGCCACGCCCCCACGGGTCTGTAGGCATTGACAGAGTTCATCATCATGTCATTTTATGTCAGTTGGCACAGGATTAATTCCATATGAATAATACAGTAAAAGTAAGACATACAGCAGAAAAAACAGGTGACTTCCTTCCGTAAGTGGGCGGGGCTAAGGTGATGTCATCAACTGACCATGACAATGTGATGAGGGTTGGTCAGTAGTGAGACATAGGAAGTCTTATGCAGCTGTGACCTTATATGTGGAAGTTATCTCACTTTAATGTTTTATGGCGAAA